GAGAGAGAGAGAGAGAGAGAGAGAGAGAGAGAGAGAGAGAGAGAGAGAGAGAGAGAGAGAGAGAGAGAGAGATTTCAATCGGATTGAGGGCACTACAGAAAGTGGGCTGTATGACCAGAGAGAGAGAGCTTTCAATTGGGCTGTATGACCAGAGAGAGAGAGCTTTCCATCGAATTGAAAGTTGGGCTGTATGACCAGAGAGAGAGAGCTCTCAATTCAATTGGGCTGTATGACCAGAGAGAGAGAGCTTTCAATCGAATTGAGGGCACTACAGAAAGTTGGGCTTGAGGGCACTACAGAAAGTTGGGCTGTATGACCAGAGAGAGAGAGCTTTCAATCGAATTGAGGGCACTACAGAAAGTTGGGCTGTATAACCAATTTCCGATATTCCCTGCTAGGCGTCCTCCCAGGGCCAAGGGAACAGTTGCAACTGCCACCAACGGGCACAGAGGCTTTTGGAAGGATGGAAGGTACCTGTGGGGGCATATGGATTTTTTTTGGGCTTGTACTCAACGGCAGTCTGGTAGGGGCATACTAGGAATATAGAACCGGTACCGGTAGGGGCATTTTGAACATATTTCAGGCCCAAACGAAGCTGGGGGTCTTTAGGGAACTCGAATTATTGCAGAGCGGCAGCACAGGGTTAGTCGGCGGTGTGAGGGGCATGCCGCAAGTAAATGGATTTCAGAGGGGCATTTCAGAAGCGGTGTGAGGGGCATGCCGCAAGTAAATGGATTTCAGAGGGGCATTTCAGAAAAAATTTCCAGAAACGAAAAGCAAAGAAAAGAAAAGAAAAAAACGACTTCTCACATGCTCCACTCTTCAGGAGGAGTGTTTTTTTTTTCTTTTTTCTTTTCACTCGATGGAAATTTTATTTCGAACGGGCCCAAGGCAGAGAACGTTTACTCCCCATCGCGCTTACATCAACGTTTTTCGGCAACTGGCCTCGGGTGCACTCCCCAGCCCGAGCCATCCCCCTGTAGAAAACCGGAAAACAAAAACGTTGAGGAGTATTTTCCCTGCCGCGAAGGAGTAGTTTCCCTGCTGCCATCACAAAGGGCAGGTGCATGATCTGAAAGTGGATGGAAAAACGATAAGATGGGATCTTCTCACGTGCTTGTCGCTTTGAGGAGAAGTATGTTCCCTGCCGCGAAGGAGTATTTTCCCTACTGCCAGACAAAGGGCAGGTGCATGATTCTGCAGGTGGAAGGAAAAACGATAAGATGGGATCCGAGAGGAACGAGGGGCAGACGAGCCATTCCAAAGGGCCTCGCACCCACTACTCTCGAAATGCGCGCAAAAGAAGAGTGAATCGTCCGCTACAACTTGGAGAGATACACCGCCATGGATTTTGTCTTTTGTGCATGTCGAGAGTAGTGGAGCGAGGCGCTACCCGACACGTGGAATTGGCCCGGCTTTCCGGCTTGTCTTCCCCTGAATTTT